GGACAAGAAATTGACACTCTTACCGTCACCAATAACCCAACCATACCCTTTATAGATCACCTCACGTAGCCCAATACCCACGCTCCTCCACGTAGATGACCAATTGCTCTTAGCCTTAGTCCAAGCAACATCTTGTAAGTCTCCAACCTTATACTTACAGCTCACCACCCGAACCCAAAGGCTAGTTTTCTCATGTAGCAATCTCCAACCCAATTTTGCAAGCAATGCTTTGTTCATCTCACAAGCCGTCCTTATACCCAGCCCTCCGTCTTTTTTTTGGTAAACAAACATTTTTCCAGGAGACCAAATGCAGCTTCCGTCCCTCTCCACTACTCCCCCAAATGAAATATCTCGCTGCTTTATCTAACTTGCACAAGGTACTAGCAGGTAGCTTAATTGTACTCATCGAGTGTACCGGTATTGAAGAGATCACCGCCTTTGTAAGGGTAATTCGTCCTGCCAAACTCAACATTCTCCCCTTCCACCCTGCTAATCTCGTTGAAATCCTTTCTAGAATCTCCCCAAACGTATCTTTGTTGATGCGTTTCTGAAGAACGGGCATTCCCAAATATTTACTCAAGTCTCTTGTCGACGCAATACCACACTCGTCACTGATCAGCTTACCCAAATCTCTGGAGACATTGTCCGAAAAAAAAGATTTTGGATCTCTCAAGACTCACCTTTTGTCCAGATGCTAGTCAGAAGTTTCCAACACTCGTCTTATTACCCGAACCTGAGCAACCGACGCTTCTGCAAATAATATCGTCGTCTGCAAAACAAATATGCGACAGCTTAGGACCTCCCTGCAATAAACTAATCGGCTTCCACGCTTTCGTTGCAATCTCATAATCAATTAAGTGGCACAACCTTTCCATACACAAAACAAATAAGTATGGGGACAGCGGATCACCCTGGCGAAGTCCTCTTAGAGGTTTAAAGGACTCCGTCTTTTCACCATTCCATAACAAGCTCATAGACGGATCAGCAACACACTGCATTATCCATCTTCTCCAAACTTCAGAAAACCCAGCAGCCTTGAGAGTATCCTCTAGGAAATCCCATCTTATCCGATCGTATGCTTTCTCCAAATCGAGTTTGAGTAGCATCCACCCTTTTCGGCCTTTCTTACGTCTCAAAGAGTGTACTGCCTCCTGTACCACTACTATATTATCCGTACTTAAACGACCAGGTATAAAACTTGATTGCGCAGGGCCAATCAATTTTGTCATTACCCCTTTCAGCCTACCCACCATAGCCTGTGTAATTGTTTTAAACAACACATTACATAGGCTAATAGGTCGAAATTGGGTAATCCTGTTTTAAAGCTTTACACAGATATACATTAAAGAATATACTTTTATTTTATAATTCAATATTAACGGTTTCATTTATTTAAAGTTTGACTAAGAAAGACAACATAGGAAACTACACAATTTTTACATAGAAAATACACAAAATATAGTATATTTGTATGAAAACAATTTTTTTCTTTTTATTTTGGAACATATTTATGGAATGGAGAGTAGTAATAAGTTTTTAACTATAGACGAAAAAGATTCATTTTCAAGTTCATAACTTCCTAAATGGAGTATAAATAAGTGTTAAAGGTGGTGTGGTCATTATCAAATTAAGCCTCTCACTAATTATTAGAAGCTCCAAAAGCTTTTTTCCTTCTTCTCTTTTTTTCTTACGGATTTCTCTGACTGGAGCGATGGAAATTGACGGTGGAGGAGATCGTATCTCCGGTGAACGACCGATCATTATGGTCACCAACGACGACGGCATAGACGCTCCTGGCTTGCGTTCTCTGGTTCGCGTCCTCGTCTCCACTAACCTCTACGATGTTCGCGTCTGCGCTCCTGATTCGTACGTTTACTCTTAATTTTCTACAAAATGTTGCTTAATCGCCTTTGATATACGATCGAATCGCTCTTATTCATCTCTAGATAGCGATTTCGAGTTCGTGGTTTAGAAATCTGCAAATTGTTGTACATTAGGATCTTGAATTGCCTTCTTTTGCTGTAACGTATATGTGTACGGAGAGATTTTTCGATGAGAATTTGTCTTGTGTTGATGTGTTTTAGCCCAGTTTATTCAAATTGTACATCAGATTCTTTCACTTTTATCTTGTTTTTGTTTTGCGTTGCGGAGGTTTATGTGTAACTCTTACTTGTTTTATGACATTTTCCAGGGAGAAATCTGCTGTTAGTCACAGTATAATATGGAGTAGACCACTCACTGCAAAACGAGTAGATATTGATGGAGCTACTGCTTATGCTGTTGATGGTTTGTTTCTGTTGCTAATGAGTTAGAAAAATAAATAGACAAAATCTTATAGATTACGTGCTATGAGCACTTTATCTCGTTAATTATATGGTTTGAATGATATGATATTGATTGTATAACTCGGTTCTGTATGCTCTGAAGGAACACCTGCGGATTGTACTGGTTTGGGCTTATCGGAAGCACTCTTTCCTTCTCGTCCTGACCTGGTAAACCATATTATTCTGCAAATTATTTGAGTGTCACTGTTAAGTGATTTAAATGATGTGCCAATAGAGCTTTCGATTTGTGTTTGACAACAGAAACTTCTCCTTAATTTATAGGAAACATCTAAGATTTGTTGGTCAATGTAGGGTGTTTTTTTTCCTTATATTGTCTTTTCTGGAGATTTTGATGTATGTTTGTTTTCTTCATGCAGGTTCTTAGTGGTATAAACGTGGGTAGCAACTGCGGATATCACATGTCGGTGAACATTTCCTCCTCTGTTTCCCCTTGTTTTGGTTTCCAAATTTATTTGCATAATTGCATTTAAGCTTCATAAAACTACCACGATTTCTTAAACTTCGTTTAGGATTAGAACAAGATTTTGAGAATATAGAAGGAGAAACTCTAGTTAGAATGTTTCACTGGCAACCAGACTTCTTCCCTTGCCATTTCAAATTTTTATACACCGTGTTATGCTCCTGCCTGACTTTATCAAACTAGCGCTTACCTGGCTGTTAATTCCATCACAGCGTCTATTCTGGAACTGTTGCTGGCGCTCGTGAAGCCTTCCTTTATGATGTGCCTTCAGCTTCCATATCATATGATTTTGATTGGTAAGAGTACAAGAAACTAATCTTTGACTCGCAGAGATTCTGCTTCTTACTTAAATTTTCATAACATGTTTGCTATTTCTTTTATGTTTGTATCATCCTCCTTATTTTTCTTTAGCCTTCATATAGTGTTATTGATAACATCTTCTCTTTTTGCCACTAATGTCTTCTATTTTATTCATCCTTAATGTTTTAGGAAACGTGGAGAGATGAATGCTAATGATTTTGTCCTTTCTGCCCAAGCTTGCTTGCCTATTATAAACGGCATACTCAGTGCGATCAAGAACAAAACTCACCCTATGCAATGCTTTCTGAATATCGATTTACCGACTGACATTGCCAACCATAAGGTAACTCTCTGTCGCAGCTTTCAACCATATTCTCTTATGCCTACAACTCACTTTACATATGAGTTTTATACGTCTTAACTCTACTTTCCAAATGAAAGGGATACAAACTAACTAGACAAGGTAAAAGCATGGGTAAAATGGGATGGAGACAAGTGGAAGAGAAAGCACAAGGGCCAAAGATGTTATCAACAATGACAATGGATACAGAGTCAGGAGTAGTCTCGTCAGACAACGACACATCTGCTCATTCGAAAAAAGATAACCGTTTATTCAAAAGGGAGGTATCATTAATGATTTGTCACTATTCTTTCCAATCTTACTTGCTTTTGTATTCATGAAATTGTGTCTTTTTGTTGTTAGGTAAGGGGAAGCTTTAATGAAGAAGGGACTGATTCTCACTACCTAAAAGAAGGATTTGTAAGCATATCACACCATATTTGTCTATCAACTCATCTCCACACTTTATCAAAAACTTCAAAAAGAAACAAACACTCTTTTAAACTACTGCAGATTACGGTGACGCCGCTTGGAGCTCTATCTCAGACTGATGTGGATTGCCAAAACTACTACAAAGAATGGCTTCCCAAGATTACAAACCAGTCATGTTCCTCCTCATCCCTTTGATCCTACAACATGAGAGGAAAAAAAAACTCTATTAAGATTTAAAAACTTACCCATTGTAGACCACAATTTGTGGTAGACCTATTATTATATCAGTATCGGTTGTTTAGTTTTATATAGTTTTGACTTGTTATGGTTATGAGCAGCAGAATCTCTGTTGCTGCAAGCGCATTATTATCCTCAGTTAAATCTTTGATATCGAGACGCCGACACACGTTGGAATATCAAGGAAACAATTTCTATCTTCCCTAGTAATAACATATGATTCAAAAATGACTTTGGTATTAAAACATTCCCTATTAACAACTTAAGATTCAAAAATGACTTTGGTATTAAAACATTCCTATCTTCATCGGGAAACAATTTCAGAACTTTCTATTATCCACTTACATGTCTCCAGCAGGTAACAAATTAGGGAGCAAAATTATTCTTTCTTCAAAACGAAGGAACACAATTAATTAACCAATATTCAACCACTTACATGTCAGTTTTGTTATGAATGATGATATTTTCATTTGTTTTATTAAGAGGTACTAGGTCTTTCACGGCTATAATCTCCGACCGAGGGTAGAGCATGGAAATCAGTCGTCCATCCAATTTGTAATGACTGATTGATATATCATAAAAAAAAAGGCTAAAGAAATAAAGAAAACTAGGACCACTTATATTGTCAATGTCTCGATTTTACCGTTAGATTATGTAGGTATTTGAATACTTACCGAATCTTGAAAAAAAAAATCAAACATTTATTTCTAGATTCGGTAAGTATTGGGGAAATATTTAACCAAAAATAGTATACAGGAAGTATTTCCAATATTATTAACACTTTTGGTGTCTCTACTTTATCCGGGGAAAAAAAACATATGTAGTATCTTCAAAATCCATCATATATACTTACCAAAAAAAAAAAAAAATTCCATCATATATAATCCTAATCGGGTAAAACTACTCATCCGTTTTCACTTTATTTTTCTTCTTTCTTTTCTCTCTTATCGATTAATTACACAGTCTCAATTTCTTGACAAGAAGCGATCAGTCAATTTGTAATTTGTGCGTTTTAGAATTTAGTTACCGTAAACAAAGTTCGAGCGCTGGCGGCAGGACCTGATCAGATTGCAATAACATCATCATGTGTGCAAGTTGGAGATTAGTAGTCATGATCTTGCATATAATCCTTGTTTTATACTTCAAGTTATGACCAATATATTTATTATTTATACATCCGAATTTTGCTCCCGTGAATTCGAAGGAAGAGTATATAAAATATGTCACGTGATAATTATTTTTCATCTTCACGTTTCTCATTTTATGGGGTCTCATTCGACGACTTTCCAACTCGAACTAATTAATATGTTAGTTATTAATCATATAGGTGCATGCATATAAATGTAAATGCATTGTTGTTGTCTACTTAATAACAACTCCATCAATAACTTTCAATCTGATTAAGTTTTGACCATAAATTTTCCATCAATGAACACACACATACTTGCCCTAGTTTTCCTCCTACAATGTGCTTTCACTTTTGGTCTTCATTTCCACCCACTTGATCCCTTAACTCCCCAAGAAATCACTAAAACAAGCTTCATCGTCAAGAAATCTCACCTAGGCAATCTCAAAGATCTCACATTTCACTACCTCGACCTCGAAGAACCAAACAAGACCCACGTCCTCCAATGGCTATCGCCAAATCCCTCCAAGAAACCACCACCGCCACGTCGTCGCTCACTCGTGGTAGTTCGAGCCGGTGGTCAAACCCACGAGCTCATCATTGACTTAACCACTAGCAAGATCGTATCCTCCCGCATCTACACCGGCCATGGATTCCCTTCATTAACATTCATAGAGCTTTTCAGAGCTAGCAAGCTTCCTCTTACTTACCCACCTTTCAAGAAATCGATTCTTGATCGAGCCCTCAACATCTCCGAGGTTTCTTGCATCCCTTTCACCGTTGGTTGGTACGGAGAAACCACCACGAGACGTGAAGTCAAAGCCTCTTGCTTTTACAGAGACGGATCTGTCAACGTCTTCACAAGACCCATCGAAGGAATCACCGTAACTATAGACGTTGACTCAATGCAAGTCGTGAAGTACTCCGACAGATTCCGAAAGCCTCTCCCTGATAAAGAAGGTAACGACTTTCGAACCAAACACAAACCCTTCCCATTCTCTTGCAACGTCTCCGACACAGGCTTCAAGATACTCGGCAATAGAGTCAAGTGGGCTAACTGGAAATTCCACGTCGGATTTACAGCAAGAGCGGGAGTAACCATATCGACGGCTTCCGTTCTTGACCCGAGAACCAAAAGGTTTCGACGAGTGATGTACAGAGGACACGTGTCAGAGACTTTTGTTCCGTACATGGACCCAACCTACGAATGGTACTACCGTACGTTCATGGACATCGGAGAGTTCGGTTTCGGGAGATCCGCCGTGACTCTGCAGCCACTCATTGACTGCCCGCAAAACGCTGCGTTTTTAGATGGACACGTGGCCGGACCAGATGGGACAGCTCAGAGCATGACCAATGTGATGTGTGTCTTCGAGAAAAACGGTTACGGTGCTTCTTTTAGACACACCGAGATTAATGTTCCAGGACACGTGGTAAACTTACAAAATCGAGATTAATAAATTCTTTGTTTATGTTTTTAGGAACTTTGAGTAGTTATTTTAATTAATTTTTGCAGATAACAAGTGGGGAAGCTGATATAAGTTTAGTGGTTAGAATGGTGGCCACACTTGGAAACTATGATTACATAGTGGATTGGGAATTTAAAAAGAATGGAGCCATCAGAGTTGGGGTACTGTTTACTTCATGTTTTCTTTAATATAGTATTTAACTTTTTGGGTTGATACAATTATATTGAAATCCAGACCAACCTGGCCAGTTTTGACCTGTATACAATTATATTAAGCAAACTATATAATGACCCCTCAGATGGTGAGTCAAATGATAAATCTTTTTAGTTTGGTTATAATGTTGAAATTCAATATAGAAAAAATTCTGTTTTTTTGCCCATAAATTTCTCTTTTATCTATACTTGATTTTGCTAGTTAATTTATATTATTTGATTAATTCTAAGTTTTCTATTCGAGTTTGGTCTTCTACTCTTCTTATATTATAGTTTTTCAAGTAAACTTGGTTTGAGAATTTTAAAAGAAAATGAGCCATCAGAATCGGGGTATTTATCGTGTAATTTATCTATTTGCATGGTATTTAATTTTCTAAATAATAAAAGTATTCAAGTATATATCAATTTAATAACTTGAATACGTTATTATATAGGTGGATTTGACTGGAGTTTTGGAAGTAAAAGCAACGTCGTACACGTCGAACGATCAAATAACGGATAACGTTTACGGGACACTGGTGGCGAAGAACACCATCGCCGTTAACCACGACCATTACCTAACGTACTACTTGGACCTCGACGTTGACGGTAACGGCAATTCTTTGGTGAAAGCGAAACTCAGAACGGTAAGAGTAACGGACGTTAACAAAACGTCTTCTCGGAGGAAGAGTTACTCGACGGTCGTTAAAGAGACGGCGAAAACAGAAGCTGATGGTAGAGTTCGACTCGGCTCAGAGCCGGTTGAGCTATTAATAGTTAACCCTAAAAAGAAGACAAAGATAGGAAATACGGTTGGTTACCGGCTGATACCAGAACATTTACCAGTCACTTCGCTTTTAACCGACGATGATTACCCGGAGATAAGAGCCGGTTACACGAAATATCCGGTTTGGATTACTGCTTATAACCGGTCAGAAAGATGGGCCGGTGGGTTTTATAGCGATAGGAGCCGTGGCGATGACGGTTTAGCGGTATGGAGTAGCAGGTACTAGTCTAACGTTTTACTTTATTATGGTATATAATAATTATTTTTTATTTATAAAGGAAATTTTTTATGGTTTTTCTTATGGGGGACAGGAACAGAGAGATAGAGAACAAAGACATAGTGATGTGGTACAACGTTGGGTTTCATCACATTCCATACCAAGAGGATTTTCCGGTTATGCCCACTCTTCACGGTGGATTTACTCTTCGACCTTCCAATTTTTTCGATAATGATCCTTTGATTGGGTAAATACCGCCTCTGGCAAACAAACTGATGTTAGCCTTGTAATGATTGACTTATGTTAGGTCAATTTGATTTAACATATGCTCATTACAAAAAAAAGTTAGCCTTGTAACTGATCAGTTATTAATTTGATTTGATATTTGATTCTTATGTGTTGAATGGTTTAGTTAATTTAGCTTTGATGTTTTTTTTTTTGTTGGAGATACAATTCAAGTCCCACATCGGAAGTTTGATGGGACAATCAATAATATATAAAGGGTTAGGACCAATCCACTAATTGCCAATTGGTTTTGAGTTGGAAGCCCATGTTAAAGCCTAAATCTATCATGGTATCAGAGCCCGATCCATACGCTGACCCATTAATCCGGCCCGGAAAGTGGCCCGATCACCCCCACTAATTGATGGCCCAAAGGAAGGCTCAATTTTGTCGAGATAGCTAGAAGAGCATTATCTCGATGGGGCGTGATGGATTCTGTCGAGATTAATGGCTAGAAGAGCCATTATCTCGAGGGGACGTGTGGAGAAAGATCCCACATTGGAAAGATGGGAAGGGACTTGAGTAGTATATAAGAGAATTGGGCCAATCCACTCATTGCCAATTGGTTTTGAGTTGGAAGCCCATGTTAAAACCTAAATCTGACATGGTATCAGAGCCCAAGGTTTAAAGTCTGGTGGACCTAAGAAATAATGGATATAGACATACCTCAACTCGAGTAATGAGGCCCGAGAAAGAGGCTTATTATCGATCCGAGTGAGGGATCGATGAGGCGCGTTAGATCCATGTGGTCCTTGGATTGAAGGGGAGATTGTTGGAGATACAATCCAAGTCCCACATTGGAAGTTTGATGGGACAATCAATAATATATAAAGGGTTATGGCCAATCCACTAATTGCCAATTGGTTTTGAGTTGGAAGCCCATGATAAGCCCAAATTTAACATTTTTCAGTACTTTGTGAAACACTTAATTATTTATCTATTTTCAAGTCGGTGCCATGGAAAAACTTTGTGTTCTTGTATAGTTCGTTGATGTTGCGATGTCCTAAGCTTTGAAATATTTATTGGTTGAATCATGTTAACTTCATAGAGTACAAGTAATTGAATATAGGCTTCAAGATCCTTTTTCATGCATAGAGTTCTTTTAGTGCACGTTATATAGATCTATGACTACCTGAATA